CTCTAACTCTCTCTGTCTCTCTCTCTCAACTCTCTCTCAAACTCTCTCTCTCTCTCAAACTCTCTCTCAAACTCTCTCTCAAACTCTCTCTCTCTCTCTCTCTCTCTCAAACTCTCTCTCAAACTCTCTCTCTCTCTCTCTCTCTCAAACTCTCTCTCTCTCTCTCTCTCTCTCTCTCTCTCTCTCTCTCTCTCTCTCTCTCTCTCTCATTACTATTTCGAGTGGATGTCGAGCGGGATGATGGCGGCGATGGCGGTGAGGGGGGTGATGGTGAGGGGGCGGGCAGTGGCGGTGGCTCGGAGGGGAAGCTTGGTAGGGAGGCATGTTAGTGTGCGGACACTTGCGTCGGATGCGGTGGGGCAATCGAGTAAACCGGCAGCGACTGAGGATCGACCACGTGTGCTGGTGCTGGCCGGCCCGCTCAGTTCGGGCAAGCGGCAGCTGGCCATGACGCTGGCCGAGACGATGAATGGAGAAGTCATCTCGGCCGACAAATGCCACATTTTTCGGGAGCTGCAGGTCGGCTTGGATAAGGTGCCACCTGCTGCGCGCACTGCACCCTGCCACTTTGTTGACACCCACTATCTGAACGAGCACTTCAACGCCGGCGACTTTGCCGAGGCAGCCACAGACCTCTGCCAACACATTCATGAGCAAGGCAAGACCCCCATCATTTTGGGAGACTCTGTCTTCTACCTCAAGACGCTTTTCACCGGCGTAAACCGCACACCCCGTCGCGACCCAGCGCAAGAAGCGGAGGTTTGTGTTCAATCCCCTGTGCCTGACACCTGCGTGGCCATCTGCCGTGTGGCTCAACCCTTCAAACCCCTCACAACTTGCGCGCACGGCATTCACTGCCACAGCTACGTGCTGAACTGGCTGATCAACCCTGGTCCGCCGCCGTTGAACGACTGGCTGAAGTCGATCCCCAAACTGCTGCCGTCATTCTCCCCAACGATTGGGCCCGCCTCTTGCGCTGCATCGTCATTCATCGCATGACGGGCAAGACCGTCGCAGACTTTGTCCCCGAGGTATCTTTGCTGAACCCATGCCTTGGCCCGTCCAGAACCCTGATCATGCCTCAGGCAGATCATCGGCATTCTTTGACAGCCCTTGTTTATCTACTCTTCAACTCGCCCGCCCCTGGCGGCCTTCTCTACTATTCCCACCCCCACCCCCCACCCCATGGGCTCTCTTGTTGCTGTCATCCGACCATTCTTGGGCGCTCGCTGAGCCGTTCACTCGACCTGGTGAACCACCTCTGTCACGTACTCACCTATCTTGTCACCCTGGCCCATCTGTAAAACGTAAAACGCAGCCACCCAACATTGAATTCCGCAAGGTCTATCTCAACCCTCCACGCGACATGTTACACGACAATCTCGTGGCCCGTTGCGAACGCATCGTCGATCGAGGCCTCGTTGAGGAAACCATCGCGTTCGTGCCTTGACCCTGCCATCCACCCAGCCAACCCTCGTTCCTTGAGCCCCTCACTCCAACGCATGCATCTGATCACCGGGCCCACCTACAGCTTGATGCCCGATTATCTGGAACAAGACTCGCGGCTGTCGCGCTTGCTCGGATACCAGGAGGCGCTCGCCTACTTGGCTGAGTTCTGGTTTTCGCAGGATCCAAAGTCAACGGCTCACAAACGCAAGGCATTTCGGCGTCTTCTTTTTGCGCTCTACCGTTCGCATCGTCGTGCCGCAGCACAACAACTGCGCTACTTTCGCTCGACCCCGTACGTCAAATTGGACCGGGTATCACCTTCGGCCCCTCGTGCCGACCATGCCAACGTGTATGCCCGGTCTCGTGTTCCCCTTACCATCGTGCTTGTGAGCAGGGACTTTTATCCACTAGAGTACGATGCGCATGGTGATCCTGTTGAGATACTGGAGCTGATTCAAGAGTTCTATCAAACAGGGGTCAGTCGATGGCTCTGGCCCCCTGTGGCGGTGCAACACGGGCGCACAACGGCATTCTCACCACTCTTGGTCGCAACTCCGTTGACTTCGGATTCCCGCCAGGCTCTGCCCAAACACGTTGCAGGTGATCAAAACCCTCTTCCAACACAACCGCCGCGTGATGTGCACTGGTCACTCTACCAGGAGGACCAGAACGTGGACGACAAGATTGCTGACGTGCAAGCAGCGCTGCTTATGCACGGGCAAAAGCACAACTGGCCCGTTGAGCTTTTCCAAGACGATGAGCCCGAAGTACAAGCCACCACCCACGTCTCCCGCCGGGCCAATCGCTTTGCGGCGCGCCAAGCCGAGTACAAGCGTCGACGCTGAGCTGGTTGAGTGTTGCCATCAAATCACCGCCTCCCCTAAACTCATGGAACCGACATTGACGCCCGTCAATGCCGAGATTACCTTGCCCGGCCGCGCCGGAACTGCGAGCCCTCGCAAGCCTTTTGAAACGTTCTACTATCTCTGCCCCCTTCCATTCCACTAGCCGCCGCTTGCAAAATAAAAAAAATTACTTTTACTTTCTCTGTTTTGAGTTGTCATCGTTGTGGACCACTCAAGCAGAACAGCTCTACCAGAGTTGTAAAGGGTTGTTAACACGCCATTGCTGCTGGCTGACGTTCCAGAAAAAAATCGAGTGGGAGTGAGCGATATATTCAATTGCCAAGGTCACTCAGATCTAATGCTGACGCTACGCTCAGACAAACACACACATATACTTCCTGCAGTCCGCAAGGAGCTGATTGAGACGAGGGCCGCCAGAGGATGACCACGAGTCAAGGTCGTATCAATGATCCACGGTCATTTTGGAGCAAGCACGCTGCATGATGCCTCACGCTTGGCCCAGGACTGGCTCGATGTTCTCCTGCTCCTCTGTAGCAGGGTCATCAATCTGGCTTTGAGCCAGCCGGTCCATCTCCTCAAGCACGGAATCGGCCATGAGAGTGGATTCTTCAAGCAGCTGGTGGCGTCGCTCCTCTTCACGACGAGCGGCATCGCGGCGTTCGCGCTTTTGTTCCGCCTTGGCCGGTGCATAATGCTCCTGAAACAGCTGTCGCAGCTCCATGAACAGAAGCTGCATGTGCTTGTGCTCGTTGTAAGCAGCAACAACCGCTTCGGCCCCTTCGATGGCTGGCGAGGTCTCAACCACTATCAAACCGTGGCGGCACCAGAAAGTCAGCGGCGCGCACGGTGAGCAAATGATCAGGGACAAGACCTTTAATAAGAGTCTGCGGAGGTCCAGCGGATCAGCTAACCTTCGCAGGCATTGCCACGCCAGAGTAGTTTGATGGTACCCGTCTGCTCAGGACAGCTGGACAGGTGTTGCAGCGTGTACCGCATGCATTTGGTGTTGGAACCATCTGCAGTTTGCCCGTTGAGCCAGCCAGATGAAGTTCCGTTGAGCTGCCGGGAACAGAGTCGCACGATAGGGCGAGGTTCCCTTCGGAATGGGATCAAGGTCTGAGCCCACGTACCGGGTGCCTTGATGCGAGCCAAATCCATGCCTGTCATGGCTGCATAGCGCGCCATTTCAGCGCTGACGTGGCTCATGTGCTCATCGTGTGATGAACGCAGTTGTTCCATTTCTATTGTTGAACGGTAACATGAGACTGACATTGTTGTTTGCTTTATCCCACACACACACACACACACACACACACACACACACACACACACCTTGTTCAACAGCTTCGAGCTCTAGCTTGAGCTTGGCCACAACGTCTGCCTGAAGCTCAACGCTTCGTGCACACTGCATTGAGCGAGCCTCCAACTGCTGGATTTCGCCCTGCAGAGCCTCAGACTCGGCCTTGCGCGTGCTTGCAGCTAGAGGAACAAGGATGCGCCGTGATAAGCAAGGTTGAGTGTGAATTGTACCGTTGGCTCTGCATTGCGACGACACTCACTCTCACGACGACGCTCCCGAAGGACCACCGCATCCGCCTGACGGTCTTTCAGCTGAACGGCCTCGACTGCGTGGCCACAACAAGCAAGGTACAAGACACAAGTGCTGAGCACCAGCGCGGAAAGCATGGCACATAACCCGCACACCGCTGCCACATAGGGCATGTGAGTGAGCCAACCCTGAGCGTGGTCCGCTCACACGCACCGCGAGCATCCTCGAGCTTCTCCTGGCATGCCACATTGCGAAGCACGATGGGTTCAACGGTATCGCGGCAGAAATCAGCAACGATGGAGGTCGTCTGTTCGAGGCGCCGGCGCAAGCGCTCGATCACAGCATTGGCTTCAGCCTCCAGCAGCATGATGAATGAGATGAGAGATGATGGTGCTCCACAACAAAAAATTAAAAAAGAAAAATGCAGCGCTTGTGCCCTGAACGGAGAGATTTCAAATTAAGGCGCGAAATTATAATGTATCATTTGAAGGAATAAAAACTACGATAACCTGATTACCAATATTAATGTCATCGTTTTCATTTGGTAGCGTGCTGGGCAGAGAGAGAGAGAGAGAGATGACGGAACGACCGTCGCGATGGGATCGCCCAACGGCAGCGCCCCGCCCGTCGGCGGAGGCGAGGCCGGGTGCTGCTAATCCCTCGATGGGGTCGGTAAATGGAGCCAATGTTGGTGTGGGCCGTTCTCGCTTCTCGCTTCCTCCACCGCCGCCACCGCCTGGCCAGGTGGAGGCACCCACGGCTGCAGCTGCCGCGGACCGTCGTGCGGCGGCGCTGGATCGAGGGGGTGTGGGTGTCGCGGACCCGAGTGACTTTGCGCCAATGCATGTGCCAAGGCCACCCGTCGACAAATCTCGCGCCCTGATTAGCGCCATGACTCGCCATCAAGAATCATCCGACGTGTCAGACATCTCGGACGATGAGGACATGGACGAGGACGATCGGGAAGACGTCACGCCCACGGGCAGCGGTGACCACTCGGGCCGCCGAGTCAGCGGTGACGGCGAGGAAGAAATCAGTGCGGATGAGGACGGCGAGCAGGATGATGACCACATGTCCATCTCCTCCCGCACCTCATCACACCCGCCAGCACCATCTGAGCAACCCGACGCCCGTCAGAACAGCCCTGCTGCCGTTGCAGAGACGCGACCACCACTCCTCGACCGTCGCGCCGCCAACGGCAGCGCTGGCTTGTCCCGACCCTCTCCCCTGGCCATCGCACAGGCCATGCCAACGCCTAGTGCGCAATCCACCCCTGGGCGCACCGCTGCACCCATGCCCACCGCACAGGCCCCAACTGGGACCGCAGCCATGTCAGCCTCGCCTATGAACCTCGATTCGCCCAAGCCCAATCACACTGCCCCTGCTGCCACTCCAAATCGCAAGCCCCCCAAGCCGACTGTCACCACGCCCTCCGTTCCCGGTATGTTGACTCTGGATCATGCTGTGCTACGCGAGCACATTGTCGGGCCCGTTCCCACTTTTGCATTCATCGATTGGGCAGCTACAATCTCATCCGTGATGTTTGGGGCGAAATCACCTCGTACTCAGAAACAAGCCGTAAGGAGTACTGGCTCAATTTGATGCAGAGCAAAGACATGGAAGCCACGGCCATTGAACACGAACTCACCAAGCTGCAGGTACGACCTCACCCGCCTCGGTCACTGGCCAGCCCTACCAATCTAGCTAGGACGCCGTCGCCTGTGGCTCATCCAGAAAAATTGACGCGCAGGCACGTCTGGAGCAAACAGAGCGGGATCTAGAGATTGACCGCCAAAATCGAGCCAATGGCTTGAGCACGGACGTCGCGATGGAAGACTTGGGCAGCAAGGAATCTATGCGCGCCCTCATTACGCGCGTGTACCGTCAAAACAAAGCTGCGGTACGTCCCTGATGGATGAGCAGTTGTGCGTCCGAGTACCCGTATCCCGCACGCATGTCTTGGTTTTGCGTCCTTACCTGATGCTACTTGGGCTGGTGACACTTAGGCGGAAGCAGCACGGCCAGTCGAGCAACGTCAAAATGCCGTGGTGGAGAACTTTGTCGCCGTGGAGCCGCAAGAGTATGCATCGGTCAAGGAAGCTCAGGCCCACTACACCACGTTCAAAAGTCGGCTGAGCCGCTACATTTATCACACGCAACAATATGATGAGGTGTGTGCCACCGCTACCGCGCCCGACCTGCTCCCTCGCTGTGGTGGCTGGCATCGCCCGCTTTGCCAGCGCAACACCTCACCTTTGTAACTCTTTGACTGCCTGCAGCGGTTGAAGCTGGCCCTCGCACGCCGTTATCAGCGCCACAAGCACTCGTGGAAAGCTTTGATGCTCGAACGATTTGAAAACAATCGTGACGAGCTCTTGGAGTACGTGTACTCAATTTGACCGCTCGCAGATAGATACAACGAGCGTGAGGCATGGCACAAAATTGGCCAGAGCACTGGCGCCGACTTGTCATCGCATACCATGCTCACTGCCTTGTGGTGATAGACGCAACAAATTCTTCGAAACGGTGTATCCGGATGAACTTCGGCGTCGCGGTGCCGTCCAGAATGAGATTTTTGAGGTTTGTTGCTTCGACTTGTGTAACGTCCTCTTGACTACCGACACGCCATGACACAGAGGTGTCACTTTGACTCTTGCGCTGTGATGTTGGGTCTGTAATGTTCAGAACCTGGCAACGACTCTCGGCACCCCCCAGCGCACGACACGCGCACAAGCCAACAATGACGTGCAGCACGTGGATATTGACAACGATCCCAACTTATTAACTTTCAAGGTATTCCGCGTGTTCCTTCCTCGGCTGAGCGGCTTTTTTGTGTTTGATTTTGTTCAGATTGGTTGTTGGCCTTTTGTCAATTCGTTGTCCTTCAGTGCGGACTCGTGTTGCTGGTGTTTGGCGCTGGGTGTGGGCTCGTGCGTTAACCCCCCTTCATGACTGGGGTCATGCCATGCAGGGCTGCGTCACTAAGCCACAAGATCAGCTTGTGGGCTATGACAAGTACCACAAGGGTCGTTTGATTGATCGCAACCGAATTGTGAGCAATAGCAAGAGCATGCATCGCGAGCTGGACTATGTCAACGTCTGGTCCGCCGAGGAGAAGCAGATCTTTTTTCACCGCTTCATGCTACACCCCAAGCGCTTTCACCGCATCTCGTCCCACCTTCCGAACAAAACGACGGCAGAGTGTGTTTGGTACTACTATCGGCACAAGAAAGAGCTCAATTTCAAGGGCGTAAGTGCATGGACGGGTTTGATCAGGGTTGCTTCAGACAGACATTGTGTGCTGTGCTGGAAATGTGCTTCTCTCCCCCTCCCCTCGATCTCTCGATCTCTCTCTCTTGTTGTGCTGTTGTTTTTTTTGTGTGCTTCTTGTTATGTCACAAAAAAAAATCACGCTGTCAACTCGTACCTGTGTCCAACACAAAGGAACGCGAGAAGCTGCGCCGTGAGCGGTCGCGCAAAGCTCAGATGAGCAAGCAACGTAAGAGCAGTACCTCGCTCGTGAGCGCAGTCAAGGAGGCCAAGGAGACCACGAGCACTCGAGCCTCGAAAGACCGCGCCAACGCGAGTGCAGACGAAAGTCCCACTGCGGTATGTCATGCATTCCTGTTGAGAGGCGTGGTCTGGTTAGCTGTCCTCTGCCCTGGTTCATGGCGAATTTTTGACCATGCGCCCTTTTTCTCTCCCATAGGCTTCAGGAGAGGAGCTCAAGGGCGATGGTGATGCAACTGATGCTGCAGCAACAGATGGGCCTGAGAATGCCAAGGGTGGCAAGGGCACCAAGAGTACCAAGAGTGCGAGGGCGAGCGAATCGGGTGAAGGCAGCAAGACCAAGAAGCCCAAGAATGTGACACGCAAGGAGACGCCTAAACGAGCTTCGACGTCGCGGATACGCGCGACCAAAGGCAAGGATGTGGCTGACCCTGGAGCACCGGCCGCCGAAGCAACAGCGGAGACGGGGGTTCCGGTCCCTGCAACGACGGCGGAGCCTACACCGACGACGACGGCCGCCCAGAGCGGCCAGGCTGCGGACGCAAGCGGTGGTACTGTCAAGCCCGCTGAGAAGCGGGTGAAGAAGGAGAAGGTCAGCAAGGACAAGGTGCCGAAAGAGAAGGCACCTCGACCGGTCAAGGAGAAGGCGCCGCGGGCTCCGAAGGACAAGACCCCCAAGGACAAGGCCCCCAAGGACAAGGCAGGTGATGCAGGGGCAGATGGCAAGGCGAAGGCTGCAAAACCACGATCTCGGGCGAAGGACCGGGGCAAGGAGGGCGCTGAGGGCTCTGCTGCGGATGAGAAGCGCAAGAGCAAGACTGGTGTGGCCGGTCCGGATGCCAAGCGCTCCAAGACGGTGGATAGTACCGAGGATGCGGGCAAGTCGGCAGGTGCGACCGTTACTGCTGCCACGACAGCTGCTTCGGGTCAGGTCCCCGCTGTGGCGACTCCGGTGCCAGGCTCGACCGTAATGGAGAGCACGGGCCCGACCACGGCGGCAGCACCCAACGCCACCACGGCGGCCGCTATGGCAGCAGCGATGGCGGCTGGTGCCCTGCCGTTTGTGATGCCTCCGGGTACCTCTGTGCCCATGTCGGCGGCAGGCGCCCCGTACTTCCTTTCGCCTGCGCTGTCTGGTGTGCGGGCAGGGCAGGGCGTCTATATGCCATCGTACCCACAGATGATGGTGAATGCCGTGCCTTCGGCAGCTTGGCCGTACATGTGTCTGCAGATGCCCGGTTCGGGACCAGTGGTTTCAAGCGCGATGCGCTGGCCGGGTGTGACGTCGTTTGCACCCACGGTCAGTGGTGTCAGCGCCGCCACCTCGGAGGCGCAGGCGGCGCAGCAGGCGCAACAGTTTGCGCTTAGTCAGCAGTTGTTGCAAGCCGCCAGTATGGGTGCTGTTGGTCGGAGTGGGACGATGGCCACCAGCGCTGGGGCACCGACCTCGACGGGCCTGGTACCCATGAGCATGGCCATGGGGCCTGGTCCCGCTTTGAGTCTGGCTCAGGCCCAGGCTCAGCTACAATCGGCGGCGCGAGCGGCTGCCGTATCAACGGCGACAACCCAGCCCACAAGTAGCAGTGGTGACCAGAGCTAAATACCCGCGCTTCATCCGCGTCGTTGTTGTTGTGCGTGACTTGGTGTCAGTGCGCGAAGGAGAAAGGAAGAAGAGACGGCATGACCGATACGGCGTAATTATCGCATAATTTCTTTTTAATTTCATGCTAATTTTTTTATATTAATTTTCATGTTTGATCGCCCTGTCTTTGATGCATCTTGGGAACTTGAATGGTCCGATGCGACGGTGGCTGCGGTGGTGTTGGCGGAGGTTGCGGGGCACCACTTTCTCGCGTGTTCCTGCCAGCTACTGCAATCGACAACCCCCCGTGACCTTTGTGACGCATTGTTTTCAAAGTTGAGACCACAGACAGACACACACATTTCAAGCTGATTATTTTCATTATTTGGTGCGATAGCAACTCAAAATTACCGGCAAACAAGCGAGAGTAGTGGTGTTACTGGACAGCAATTGTCAATTGTTGTGCTTCAGAACAGTTATACACGGGATGCAAGGGAATGTATTGCTATGAAGGGGATGTGCTCGTCTGCTCTCAAAACGACAGCGTCCTCAGGGTCTGTGAGTTGATCCAAAAGCCCTTCTTCTAATCGTTATTGATATCTGTTTTTTTGAATGTACCTTAATATGTTGTTCAGCGGGATAGTTCGGTCACCTCCTTGAAAGTAACATATGTATTCCCTTTTTGTAACAACATATTGCTCTTGGGATTGAGGCAGGTGCGATTAATTGGCAGTCAGTATTTCGGGTCGTGCTCGGCGATTCTGTCTGCTGTGCGTTTCAAATCAAGCACAGCAGAAGCGCTAAATTTTTGCGGATCAAACGAGGGTGCTCTTGTGTTCATACGCTTCCTGTGGATGCCATAGCAGCCCAAAGACCAGAAAATCATTTATTTTGAAATAAATCCCATTTCTTTTCCATACGAAACTTATTTGGCTTTGACTCTCTAGGGCTACATGGCTCTGATTGGTATGTCAAATGGCAGCGCCATAAGACGAGTCAGCGAAGCAATGAGACAACTTGGTGGGTAGAAGCAGATGGACAAGACAAGTTCCGATTGATCAATGGTCATTCAAGGTTTATTTCGATTGACAAACGCCCGGGACGATTTTTTTTTCTAAACACTTAGTAAGCAAGCTGTTTCCTCATTGGGTGG